GGGGGGGGGGATTTTTAATAGGTTAAATTGACCAAATGTTAACCCTAAAGACTGGGTTATTTAGAAGTAGTTTCTAAAGATTGTATCCAGAGAAGAAGCCTTTCTTCTGGCAGAAGTATGTCAGGAGAAAGCTCCACATTAGTGCAGTGGAGACATAGGATCCAAGCCAATCTGACGCTAGTGATGGTATTTTTTGTATGTTCTTTTTTTCTTTCTGTTTTTATTTCATGTTAAGGTTTTTTCCGCCCATCGTATGTGTAATGACATCTTAAGCTATTCATTGAACATTAGCATTCTAGTAGTACTAATGGTGGTATTTTAGGTTATTTCTAACAATCCATTAACCTTTACAAGTTTTAAAAAAGGAAAGCATCTCTGTTTTTTCTTGATTGTAGAAATGAATTTGTCCCATTTTGTATATTTTAGGCATTTGACTTTATCCCAAAATGACATGGCAGCATTAACGGGAGGCAAGGTAACATTATCTGGACATATATAATAAAATATACCTGACTGTTTTGTAATGTGTATTTTTTGAGACATTTGCTGCAACAACATCTTTGTGCATATTCCAGGGTTTTCCTTTCCTGTTTCAACATATCCGTGATGGAATTAACATCAGGCAAACCTGCAATCTTATTTTCAGCCTCTGTCGGTACAACAACAGGCTCGCAGAACATGTAAGTCTCTGCTGTTGTAGATTCTGTTCATACTGGGAACTGAACTGGAAAACCAATTCAAGGGTTATCTAATCATTGACCTCTCAAATTAAGATTTTGTTTCTGTTGCAGATTGTATCCATGCTTTTTACCTCCATAGCCAAGTTGACTCCTGAGGTATGTAACTACTTCTATCTACCAAAGTATTCACTGATTTTTCCCCAAGTTACTAAAGGTGTACATGTGCATTCTTCCACATAGAAAAATGATAGTTTCTTGTTTGATAATCCGAGTTTGTTTTATAGTCCCATCCTTCCTTTGGCACAAGGGCGTACAGTTAGAACAATTTGTCTGAGGGCACTTTTTAAATTATTTTTATTTGTACCCTTCCTTGGGCTGTGGTTCCTAGACAGGCAGCACAAAAATTGTCAAATTAAATAAAGTAGGTGGCCTTTTTCTGCAACTGAGACTCCAGTGTCCATCACACCAGTGTTTGGACTCACAGGAAGTATCCTTGGCTTTCTAGCCTAGCAGGAACTACTTCAACCAGTTCATAGAAAGATTCACCAATAAATGTATTAGAAAATTGTAGCCGCCCAGCTCTGATATTGGGTATCTCCGGCCTCCACTAATAGGACTCGATAATAAGTTAACACTTTCTTGAGGAATCTTTCCCTTCCCGTGGAGTTCAGGGTGCAGTGTAAATGTTCTTCCCTCCCTCAACAGCAGCCTTTTGAGGAGCGTTAGTCTGAGAGAAAGTAAGCTTTGTGGTTGAGTGGGGATTTGAAACTGAGTTTCCCCAATCCTAGTCCATTAACCCCTATACTAAACTGGCTTTTGTGCGCAAAGTTTCTGTGCAACTGCTTTCATTCCCTCAGGTCTCTGTAGTATTATACATGTCTTTGTATACAGAGCACCTTCGTTCATAGGCATGCATGCATGCACTCCTCATCGTAATATGAAACATTTAACTAGCAGTAAATGACAAGCTGCATCTGTTTGACCTTGTGTGGTGTGCACAGGCATAATTTTACTTTCATCAAAAGAAAGACAAGCCAGTTAGATTTACGAGCTCAGTGTGTTCACTGATTACAACTGCAGTAGTTGCATACAGCTCTGAATATATCTTGAGGTGCTTTGTGGTCGCTACAGACTACAGCTGTAAATTTTACAGTTACTGAACGCT